GACCATTTTGATGGTTCTCCTTGAATCCACGCCAATGCAATTTCTGAATCAGTCCATAGGTAATATTTAGCAATTCTGTATCTAAGAGCTCGAAACACTCTGTCAAATAAATTAGCCAAAAGTAGCGCTCCACAGAGCTCTAGTCTAGGTAAAGTGGTAAGTTTTAGCGGTGACACTCGTGATTTTGCAGTTAAAAATTGAATCTTGACTGTTCCAGTATCATTGATGGACCGGACATAAATACAAGCTCCGTAAGCCACTTGAGATGCATCGCAAAAACCGTGTAGTTGTATGTCAATTAGATTCTGTAAGATAATGTGTCGAGGTATTAATATCTGATTGACAATAGGTAATTGTTGATAATAAGTTAGCTATTCGTTTTTGATCGTTTCAGGTACCGGAGTATCCCAGTTTATTTTTAGTTGCCAGAGTGATTGTAGCAAAATTTTTGCCTTGATAATGATTGGTCCAATCAATCCTAAAGGATCAAAGATTTGAGTAGTTAATGACAAAATGATACGCTTAGTGATATTATCTGGCATAGATTTACAAGTGACTTTGTAACATAAAAGGTCTGGATTAGATTGCCATACAAGACCGAGAATTTTAGTGTCAGTAAGCTCATAATTGTCTAAACATTCGTCTAATCCAAGTGGTATGTTTGAACGAAATTTGCGTAATTCGAATCCTGCTGTTTTCAGTATATTTGTAACTTAAGGTAGTTCTATCGCTACAATATCAACTAAAAGTTTCGTCTCTAATCGATAAGGAAATTCATTGTTTATACAATGTTACCGTAGCAACAATTTTAGTTGAGTCTGTACAGTCTGAACCTCTTCACATAGAAACAGCTCATGTATGAATACACATCATTGCAATTTCTCTCCATGTTCCGTTTGGAAAAAAATTCATTTCTTTAAAAAGTAATATCTTTGAAATTAAACGGTGGAAAAAATTTATTTTTTTTTTTAAATAATCCCACACTCATATTGTATACCCCACTAGTTTTTTATTAAAATCGTAAGATCCGTTCTATTGTTTTAAAATGTGAAAATGCCATCCTTTCACGTGGTGTATAGAAAAAATGCTATTTTTAATTGTAAATAACTGTTAAACTAAAAATCGACTTCAATCGGTGAATCGACTTCAAAATTTTGTAATCGATAGATATTAACTCCGTCTACAACATATTAAAATTTCTAAAAATTCGTAAGAATTGTGAAAAACGATAGAACTACCTTAAACCTTTATTTCTAAAAGTTGTTGTATCGTTGTTTCACCAGTAATCAGATCGTCAACATAAAAATCGCGTGCTATTACTGTAGCCGCTTGAGACTGTGTATGCTCAAAATCAACAGATAATTGATGCAGTGAACGTATAGCTAGAAATGGTGCTGAAGCAAGTCCATACGTGACGGTATTTAAAGTGAATGTGGTTACTGGTTTATTCGTATCAGTTCTCTATAATATACACTGATATAATCGATGTTCTGATTTTAGTAGAACTTGTTTGTACATCTTGGCAATGTCACCTGTTAATACATAGGGATGTTGCCGAAATCGTATTAAAATGTCGAACAATTCTGATTAAATAATAGGTCCGACTAGCAAACAGTCATTAAGTGATTTCCTAGTTGTAGTTGGACAGGAAGCATCGAATACCATTCTTAACTTCGTGGTTGTTGATTCTTCTTTGAAAACCGCATGATGTAGAAGGTAATTAACCTTTATATTTTTATTGTCTGACAATAGTGACATATGTCCAAGTTTAATGTATTCATTCATAAATTCAGTGTACGCAATTTGTAATTGAGGATTCTTTTGAAATTTACGCTCCATACTCTGTAATCGCTTGAATGCATTATTCTTTGATTTGCCTAGACCTTCTGGACTCTCACGAAAGAGGAGTGGCACCTCAAATCTTTCGTCAGGTGTTCTCTTATAATCGTTACAAAAAATCTCTTCACATTTGGATTCTTCTTTGGATAATAACCTTGTGTTTGTACATTCTTCAATATGCCAGAACTTCTCGATTTGTTCTTGAAGATCTTCATTTCGAACAAGCCCGCATATAGTGTGAGAATGCATATTAATTGGTAATCCAATTTGTCCGCATACCAATCAGCCTAATTTTGTCGATTGTAATGCGAGTTGTTTTGCTCCTAACTGGATTCGGTCTACTTGAAGAACATCTCAGAAAATCGTTGTTCCCAACAATAGATCTACATTTTGTGGTTTGTGAAACGTTGGGTCTGCCAATTTGATCTGCTGTGGCAAACTTAAAGATTTAGTATTAACGAGTTTAGTAGGAATAGGTCGTGTAATTTGATTGACTACTAATAAATTAACGTCTGTCTCGTACGTTAAAGTGGTTGATGCTATCATGGTTCGCGTGATGTCAGCTGTTTGTTTTTCTGTTGCATCTAGACATGAAATTGTGTGTCTTATAGAATTTGTTTTGAGTCTTAATTGCTCACACATAGATTTGGTAATAAAGCTTGATTGGGATCCATTATCTAATAAGGCTCGCGCTTGGTGAAACCTAACCAGATGATCGCGTATGTAAACCATTGCGGTAGACAAAAATACCTCGGAATCGAATTTGTTAACATTTATCGTTTTCATTGACACAGTTGTGGCGGAAGCGTCAGGTGACTTTATGTTCGAATTTGCGTCGTTCGAATTAGTCGCTGCACTACTTGAAATAGATGAAGTTTGATTGGATACGTTGAACTGTTCATTCGCATGCAACAAAGTATGATGTTTTTTAGAACAGTATTTGCAAGTACGAGAAGTACATTTAGATAACTTGTGATTTGAACCTAACAATTGTAAACAAAAATTCAATCTTTTTGCTTCATTACGCCGTGATTCTACTTCAAGAGCTTTGAATACTTTACATGCATAAATTCTATGTGCTTGTTTGCAAAAAATACATTCATCTTCTTCGTTTGTTGTTACATATGTATGCGTAGTATTTTGAGTTTTATTTGAATTGTTATGATTTGATTTTACCACTGATTGCTTTGCAAAGGAAGTCTTTAATTGAATTGGATAAAGGGCTTCAAGGAACTTGCATCGTGCAGTAAGAAAATCCATTAATTGATTAGTTGTAGATGCCCTTTCCTGAATTACCTTCAATTCCCATTCTTTTTTTGTAATGGGATCTAATTTGCTGGTGATTAAATAAATGATTAGCGTATCCCACTTATCTGTAGGTTTTTTTAATTGTTTTAGTACTCGCAGATGTTTATTAAAATTGTCTGACAATGTACGTAATGACTCCGCCGACTCCTTTGGAATTACAGGCACACTAAATAATTTATGAACATGATGTTGAATCGTTAAACATACATTTTGAAATTTTTTTGTCAATAATTCTAAAGCAATTCATTAGTTGTCTGTAATGAATTAATTGTCTGTGCAGCTGAACCTGACAAAGCAGATCTCAAGTAATGAAATTTTTGAACAGCGTCGAGCTTAGTGTTATCGTCGATTAACGCTTTAAATGTGTCATGAAATTGTTGCTACTGCTCATAATTTCTGCTGAAAGTCGGTAAAATGATTACAGGAAGACGCATCGGTGTTTGATTTACGTTCATATTACTTGCAGTTGCATTATCATTTTGTAAATTATCGCGATTTGCTGTACGATTGTTTCTAAATTGGGCAAGTTTTGATCGCGCGGAGGCTTGTACAACGAAAAAGGCATCTTCAAATCTTTCTCTTTTTGCGATATCTGCTTCTGGGAGCATCGCGTCTATCTGTGTCTGTATTAAGTAATATTCATGCCACAATTTATTGAACTTTTCCAATTTAGCTTCTAAGATTAATCGATTCTCATTACTATCTATATTACTATCTATTCTCTACATAGTTTTTAAACCTAGTCGCTCGAGCTTTGAGTGTTGTTCGTTGACGTTTCACAGTTTCTAACGCTTCTGCCATCGCATGTACAATTTGCGATCTAATTGCGTGTGCAAATTACAATTTAACTGCGTGTGCAAATCACAATCTAACCGCGTGTACAAATTACGTTGTAACCTAACTTAACGTAGTAACAAAATACTTATTATAATGCTACGATTGTTGTTTTGCTGATGATGACTTGAAATCGCGTGTGTAATGGTATCTAATATGATGTCGTATGCTCGTCGTCAGCTTGTTGTCGGCTCGTCGGTGATGAGAAAATGGCGGTCTTCTATGTCCGTCGTTGTTGACGAACAAATGACGATTCTTTTTCAATGACGTATTTCTTCGGCTCTAAGATTAGAGTGTCGTCAAATGTGACCAGAGAGCAGTAGTCCTTTGCTCAAGTCGATCCTTGTTTGATGTATCCGATGTCCACACGATCGGATTATCCCGCTTCACCTTGTACAAAGCCACAGACACGATGTGTTTGCTGCCAATGGTTTCAATGCTAACTATCCCGAGCTTCGTTCAGTTTTGTTGCCGATATTAATATTCGGCTCGAAGGACCAATTTTGTTAGGAATTGACAGTGAAATTCCTTAAATCAATGTAAAAACTGAACGAAAACTTAGAATGTTTATTGAAAATGTTACACGTCTGTCACTTTTCTCTGTCTCTTTCGTAACAAACACGCAATTGTTTTCTTCTTCGTGTTAAGAATAAAGGACGATTTACAAAATGTATGGGCTGATAAAACAGAGTTGATGATGGTAATACATAGACACGTAGTGATTGTAGTTAACCAGATTTGTATATATGCGAATTCGTACACCAACTAAGAAAAACCTAAAAAACATTTTTGTAAATAGATTATTATTTCTCCGATACTTTGTACATTTGAAGAATATATATATGATGTATATTATAAGTAAATATATATACCATAAATAACAAAAGTTATTGCTTTGTTTTGGTTTCTGCGATAAAATATATTGTCGGTTAACAGTTAGTATGTGTTATGTAGTTCGATATCAGATTTAAAACGTAAAAGAGACATGTACATTATGTATCATAACAATAATTTTATAGTTGGACGCACGCACTGAGAAAGTAGTTACATATACGGAGCTACAAGACAAAGCCGTAAGATGCGCATTATGGTTACAAAAACAAGGAATAAAATCAGACGATGTTGTCAGTGTGTGCACAAATAATCATCTTAATTCCATCGTGCCCTGCTTAGCGGCAATTTATGTCAACGCTATTTTTAATCCGTGGAACGATGGCATTGACTTACGTAAGTTCTTCTGCAATAGCAGTTAAAAGCATTGCTAAATTATAATTAATTAATAATTAATAAGAAATAATGAAATTTCAGCAATAAATTATGCTGTAGAATATAATTTTATTTATTTTATATTAATAAAATTTTATCCTTTTTATTTATTTTATTTATTATATATTAATATTTTTTTATAAGTATAACATTTATGTCATTTCAAATTTTTATATTGTTTTGTTTAAAAATATAAATGTAATTAATATAAATTTAAATTTAAACTGGCTAAAAGAATCGTATAAAGATGGTCCAAAAAAATTTGAGAAAGGGGAGGTATGTAAATTTAATAAAAGCTTATACGGATTGCCACAGCCAGAGCGAAATTAATATTTTATATTAAAAAGAGGAATTATCATCAAAGAATAATTTCAAAGAATTAAATTCAGAAAGTTGCATTAATCTTACAATTAAACAAACAGATTTCTTTGTATTCAGCTGTACGTCGATTACTTTCGGGGGAATTTAAAAAAATCTAATGTACTGTTATAAATAGTATATTAAAACTTGAATTTAAAATACTTTTTCAAATCTTTTTATCGTATCTATTGTAAAATTTTGCTTAGAAATATAGAAATTAATATTTTTCAAGGGAATGTTTTTTAAGGATTTCAGCCTTTTAATATTAATTTAAACCAATATAAAAAAATACGTATCTGCTGTTTTTTTTAGATCTAAACTGCAACATTTAATACTCACCAAAATCAAAATTTATGCTTTACAATGTTTTTTTAGTGAGAGAATAATCTCAAAATTAGAAGTAAAAGCCCGGACGTTTTTGCTGCACTCTAATACTAATATTTAAATGCTTATGTCATTAGAAACCGCGCTGCATATCATGCAACTGACTGCTCCAAAGATAATCTTTTGCAATGAGAAAGCCGTGAACGTTATTATGAAAGTGATAAAGGAGAGCAACCTCAACTCCATTGTGGTAGTTTTCAGCAATCATTCAGACGCGATCGCGTTTTCGGACATTTTGAAAATTCACAGCGATGCGGAAGTGGCGAATTTTCGATTTGTCGAACACAACGATATCAAGAAAACAGCGTGCATTTTGCACTCATCAGGCACTACTGGAATGCCAAAAGGTGTCGAAATCTCCAATTATTGTCTATTATTTATCGGCGAAGATACAAATATAGATTTGGCCAATGCGGTGGCAATGTGGTTCTCGTCACTTTATTGGATCAGCGGAATAATGATGAATCTAAAATCGATCGTGCAGGGCGCCAAAGCGATTATTTATCCGGAATTTGATGAAGAAATGACGTGTACACTAATTGAAAAATATAAGGTGTGAAAGCTAACAGAGAAAATTGCGATAACCCTATATATGTTTTAAAACTTATTATTTACTTCATTTATAAGAGATTTTTTCCTTGTAAAATCGTAAGAGCTAATATTTTTTAATATCTGTTTTTTTGTGATTTAAAAACAATAATACTGAAGATACATATATCAAAATTATGTGACTTGTTGCTAGATACTTGTATTTTTTTAATAAGCAGTAAATAATAATGTTGCTCTTAGGGATTTACTTTGTTATAAAGTTAATTATTTCTTTTAAGTAAATGTTTTTTCAACGTAATATTCATATAAATTTGCCACTCTTAGAAGAATGCCATTAATTTGCTGCTAGAGTCTATTTATTCGGAGATTTGCATTTGTTATGAGCAATAAATGTTTATCATTACAATAAATCATATGTTAATAATGTACAATAATAGTTTATATAAATTTAAGTTACATATATAATTTTATTGGAAAATATGAATCTTTTTTTCTCATTTTACTATTCAGATAACAGTGATTTTTCTAAGCCCGAGCATGATCAATCGATTTCTTAAAACGGATTATTTAAGAAAGTATTCATTATCAACTTTAAAAATCATAAATAGTGGTGGCGCGGTAATCGATCCAAAAGTTCAAGAAGAAATAAAACGTATCTTACCGCATGTTCAAATGTTGCAAGGTTATGGTAGGTAATATTTTAGTGTAATAAAATGTTATAAATACAAAATTAATATATGTATAAAAAATTAAATAATATATAATAAGTGAACAAGAAAGATTTACCGCAAAAATTTGATTATTTATTTTATATTTCTAGGAATGACAGAAGTCTGTGGATTCGTTACATTTCAGCTCCCACATCACAAAGCTGGATCTTGCGGGACTGTAGTCCAGAATGCGAAAATAAAGATCGTAGACCCAGAAACCGGAAAGATTCTTGGTCCAAATAATCCAGGAGAATTGTGGATGAAAACGGCAATTATAATGAACGGCTACTACAGAAATCTTGAAGAGACTAAAAACATTATTGATGAAGAAGGTAAAAAAACCTATTTTTCCTTTGCGCCAACGCAACACGTTAATAGTATAATTAAAATAAAATAATTAATAATAATCTTAATGTGTTGATAGATCAATCAAAACTATTGAGCATAAATTATAAAGATGTAAAAAAAATTAAAAAAAATTTAATTACATAAAATAAACAAACAAATAAACATGACATACAGGTTCAGTAAAAATAATAAACAATTTTGTCATAATCTCTGACATGTAAATACACTCATAATAACATTTTCACATTTTATCGTTGGAAACCCTTATAGAAATTTATCACTAGTAACGCCAATTTATCATTTATTTCGAGCACTTAATCACTTATTTCGAGTATTTAAATTATTGTATATCAATATTTTAAGTGCTCGAAATAAGTTTTTAATTGGAGTTACTAATGATAAATTTCTACAATGGAAAGAGATAGTTACAACTACATAACAGATTATTATAAACTCATTAAGAATAGACACATATGTAAGTAATTTAACATTAATTTTCTAAATCCACAACATTAAAATCATCCTTTCTATTTAGTGGGTTCTTTATATTTTCGAGAACTATGACATTTCTACGCCTTCAAACAATGGAATTAAGAAATATTCTCCACATCTAAGGCTATATTAAGAAATCCATGGGAGAATGTGTTTACATAAATTACAGATACAACTGTCTATTTTAGAGTTTGACATTTATTCCTAATAATTTTATATAATAGATTTTGTGCAACCGGCGCGCGAAAAGTTGCCCTTTCCGCACATGATGGAATTTTAGAAAGGGCTTCCTTTCCACGCACCGGTCACACAAAATATCGTAGCCAATATGTGCGGATCATAAATCGGCCGATTGTGCGGATTGTCTCGGCTTCGCCTAGTGCGCCAAACTTCCGCACTCTCGGCCGATTTACGATCCCCCGCACTTGTTAGCTAATATACTATTAATATTGAGGAAGACTGCGTACAGTCAAAACGTCTGTTATCTTTGTAATATTAAATCTTTATAATGTATTTTGTGCAATTAAAAAAATTATTTTAAAAATTTTTTATGTGAACATTCTTATAATTTATGCTCGATAGTTGGCCTTATCAACACATTAAGATTATTATTGTAAATATAATAATACATGAGCGTTATCAAAATAATTTTGGTATAATTAAAATTAATTGATTATTTATACAATACAAATATTTATTTATAAACGTGTATATGTATATAGATCAATCAGTTGAAAGAACCTTTTATAATAAAAACAAAAAAATGTTATTTATTAATTTTTCTTATTTTTATAAATAAAAATATTTTAACTGAAAAAACTAATATGTGTACAAATTGTTGTTTTAATTCCCTAGAAAAATTATATTCAAAATTAAAAATTTATGAAAAAAATTAGAAATATATAAGTGAAAAAAACAAAGAAAAAGAAATAAAAATAAAACAAATTTAATTGAAAAAACTTAGCGCTCTCAACTTCATTAATATATCAGTTAGATTACCAGCACCAAGTTTCTAAAAATGTATCAACATTGATTTGTACAGATAAAAATAACACTATATTTTTAAATAATATTTCTTACAGTAATACAATTTTTCACAACTGACCTCTATACTTAGCACTGTCTATTTAGAGAATTTTCTTTCTTCAAAAAGATAAGTCGGGAAGAAAATATACCATAAAAATATAAGATCAATCAAAATTAATATTGGACGTTAGTGGTAAAAATAAACTTGGCAAACTTGATTTCGACGTAACTAGCAATTTTATTTAATTCTTTCACGACGTTTCGACCATTTGGTTGTGGTCCTTATCAAGTGAAAATTCTATAACATAATATTACACAATAATTTTTACCAATGTTGAAACATACACAAACATATTTATATGTTAAGTTAATAATATAAATATAAATTTTATAAACATACCCATCAATTAAACTGAGATTAACGCAACATCACACTGGTCTTATTTAAAATTAATAGTTAAAAGTTAAAAGAGGAACACGTCCCATCGCTATGATGTTTCGTCAACGACTAAATTTGAAACGCACCACTAAACAATCTTTATTATTTTGTCGTAAATATTTGTCAAATTCTCAGTGTCTTTCTGTAGGTTAACCGTATTATCATGCTTCTTTATGAAGAATATTTCAGCAATCTCTCTCTTTCTTACATGTTTCTCATTATGTAAAATGGTCGGTGATTTCCAATTAAAGTCATTTTGTAAAATCACATCTGTGTTTACTCAAAACCGAATGATTAGACTCATGTAATTTAATATTGCTGGCATGTTTCTTCACTCTAGTGCATAAATGTCTTTTCGTTTGTCCAATGTATGAGGCATTACAATTTTCACAATTGATCTTGTATACTACATTTGTTTTTATATCATTAGTTATTAAATCTTTACCTCGTTTTATCAGCCTATTCAACTTTTTTGGCAAACTATAAACGACATTTAAGTTAGCATTTTTAAGTGACCTTTTAATACTGTCGCTAACGTCTTTAACGTATGGAAGTGAAATTACATAATTCTTATCTTGAGCCGAATTCACATTATCGTTATTATCCAAATCATTACTTAAATTGTCGTTATTATCCGCATTGTGACGATGAACATTCCTATTGTTATTTAGTACATTAATTCTTTTATTTACATATTTATTAATAATACGATCCGGAAAGCAATTATTAATTAAAATGTTCTTTACAATCTCAATATTCGTATTATGAAATTGTTCGTTTAAAAGTAAAATTGCATGGTCCACTAAATTGTAAATCGTATTAATTTTATACTTAAAGACGTTATAGTTTGCCAAAAAAATTGAATAGGCTGATAAAACAAGGTAAAGATTTAATAACTAATGATATAAAAACAAATGTAGTATACAAGATCAATTGTGAAAATTGTAATGCCTCATACATTGGACAAACGAAAAGACATTTATGCACTAGAGTGAAGGAACATGCCAGCAATATTAAATTACATGAGTCTAATCATTCGGTTTTGAGTAAACACAGATGTGATTGGAAATCACCGACCATTTTACATAATGAGAAACATGTGAGAAAGAGAGATTGCTGAAATGTTCTTCATAAAGAAGCATGATAATACGGTTAATCTGCAGAAAGACACTGAGAATTTGACAAATATTTACGACAAAATAATAAAGATTGTTTAATGGTGCGTTTCAAATTTAGTCGTTGACGAAACATCATAGCGATGGGACGTGTTCCTCTTTTAACTTTTAACTATTAATTTTAAATAAGACCGGTGTGATGTTGCGTTAATCTCAGTTTAATTGATGGGTATGTTTATAAAATTTATATTTATATTATTAACTTAACATTTAAATAGGTTCTTGTATGTTTCAATATTGGTAAAAACTATTGTGTAATACTATGTTATAGAATTTTCACTTGATAAGGATCACAACCAAATGGTCGAAACGTCGTGAAAGAATTAAATAAAATTGCTAGTTATGTCGAAATCAAGTTTGCTAAGTTTATAAAAATATAAATTTGAATTTTTATAGGATGGCTACATTCGGGTGACATTGGTTATTTTGACAAAGACGGAGAACTTTTTATAATTAATAGGAGATAGGAAATTTATAAAATATAAAGGATATCAAATTTCACCTGGAGAAATTGAAAGAATTATAAGAACACACCCAGCTGTGATGGAAGCTGCAGTAGTAGGAGTGCCTCATCTAGTAGATGGTGAACATCCTGTTGGTTTTGTCACTAAAATACCCGATGCAAAGGTATAATTTTGTTGCAATTTTAATGAAATCACACAGCGAATCTCTACAAAGTAAGAATTTAGCGATAGTGAGTTAAAAAGTTTTCTAGCCATATTATTTGTTAAAAAGTTTTGTTCGAAAAACTTCTTTAAAAATATAAATCACAAATAATAAAGGCCTAAAGAACCATTCGCAAATGTTGCTGTGTACATTTCCAACGAAAATTAAGTTTTCGTTGGAAATAAACCGTGCATAAGGCACGTATAATTCTCGGTGTACTACCAAGACTTAAAATTTGAAATAATTTTATACTTAAAATTTAATTTCAAAAACCCTCTAACCCCTCTACAAAAATAAATAAATAAATGCGAGAGAAAAATATAGATGCTGAATCGGGAATCGAATCCGAGACCTTTCGCTTGTCGGGCAACTGCACTTCCCACTGAGCTATTCAGACCCTTCAATTCTATACGTTTCTCTGCTTATATAAACTCTAAATAACGTCTTTTTGGTCGGCGTGTATAAACAGCTAAAATTAAATCACGGCTGTGTAATATATTAAATATAAATGACAAATAAGAGAGGCCTAAAGAGCCATACATGTACGCGGATTTTGCTGCGTACATTTCCAACGAGAACTTAATTTTTGCATATGAGCATTTTATTTACATTAATTAAAAACTGCAGAATTTCCTTTCTTCAACACAATTTTTGTTTTTTTCAATAACTGCATGCATTAAAAAATGACAGCTGATTAGTTTCAGCATTTTCCTATGGGACACCCTGTATATATATATATATATATATATATATATATATACATATATTATAAATGAAGACGATTTTGATTATTCTTACCATTCCTTTATTATATAATTTTATAAATAAAAAGTTGAGAATGGATAGCAGAAAATGTGACATTTTTTATAAACTTATGTATGTATTTATGAACAGAAATAACTCTACATAAAATCAATTATCTAGAAAATAAAATTTTGGATGAAAAAGTTTTATGCTCCATTCTTGTCTTATATTTACATAAGAAATTACTTCCATTTTTCTTATGTTATGGTTTCTAATATATGTATATACAGGGTGTTCCGCAACGTGATCTCCACACTGAAACTATGTATCTTGGTATTATTCTAATTGTAAGTCAAAAAGTCTTAATACAGATATGCCCTTAAATCGATTGTTTTAAAGTTACAGTATAAAGAAATAAAATTGCATAAAATAAGATAAGTATTATTTATTGAAGATAATAATATTATTTATTGAATGATAATATCCCTGGTAGAAATTTTAATTGGGCGCTTGCATGGCAATGGCAAGCGTGCCATACTGCCATTTCAGGAGCTGGCATGGCACGCTGGTAAGCACCATGCTTCGAATCGTCACGTTTTGCCCGCTAGTGCCACAACTTTGGAAAGATTTGGTATGGTCCTGGCATGGCGCTAACATGGTGCCAGTAAGGTACTACATAGTACAGACATGGAACTAGCGAGTTATTGATGTGGCGTATGCATGAAATACTATGATGAATTAAATAAATTTAGTTTCAGGATTTTAAGCTGTCACCCTTTCGAAAAAATACTATTGAACTATATTCGATTTTTGAAGAAGAAGTTATTGATTTTCAATAATATGTAATAGATTTTTCGTCAATAATCGAAATGTTTAACAGTATTTTTTTGAAAGGATAACAGCATAAAATCCTGAAACTAAATTTATTTAATACATTATATATATTTTTCATTAATCATTATTATCTTATTTACATATCTAATATTAATTCTAAAAGTTATAATAAAATAAAGTATAAATAATATTTTTTTATAATTTTAAAATTTATATTGCAGAAAATATAAATATTATAGAACTCGTCTTATTAATTTTACATATTGAACTTTAACTAAACTATAATTATACAGTAAAATGACTCGTAGCCCGTGAGCTTTAGGCCGTGTTTTTTAATTCATCGATGGATCAAGCGCATTATGCGCAAATCTGCACGTGTAGCATTTGCACATCATGTGCTTGATCCATCGATGAAATAAAAAACATGGCCTTACTTAACTCGCTTATAATAGCATTACTACGAAGATATTTGTACTTCATCTTTGGTATTAGTTTATTTTTTACGCTACTATATTTAATTCGGTCTTTTCTGTGACCTTCCCAATCTTTCGAATTTGAAAGCGCTGCACTCATCGCTTTTATAAGATGATTTCTGGAGGTAATTTCTCCTTTAAATTCCTTTTGTAGCAACAAATCTGAAAAAAACTTTTAAAAAATTTCTATGATGAATGTGTTATAATTCACTTTGTTATTGTATTCAATTTGTACATACGTATTGTATTAGCAGCAGCTTTGTCGTACTTACATTGATATATTTACTATGTGTAAGTAAAGCTAATACAATACGAATGTGTAAATTGAGTACAATAAAAATGTAAATTATAATACATTCAGCAGAGAAAGCTTTTTTTTCTTCTTCAAAAATATTTATTATTCAAAATTAAATATAAAATAACTCACTATTCAATGGTTTTGGCTCATAATCAGATGGTTCTGACTCACTATCATCAAGTGTATTTGCAGCTGGTATGTGTGTCGCAAAACTCTTTTTTGTTAAATTTTCCTTCTCCGATTACTTGGATGACTTGACAAGTTTACGTTGGTCTATACAATACAATATAATATTAAAGCTTAAATTTTTAAACAAAAATAAATATTAATACTGTACATTTTTTAAGATGCAATCATATTATCAGTGAAAAATTTTTTAACCATATTATGAGTTTTTTATACTTATTATTCAAAATTAAATATAAAATAACTCACTATTCAATGGTTTTGACTCACAATTAGATGGTTCTGGCTTAAAATCAGATGGTTCTAGCTCACAATCAGATGGTTCTGACTCACAATAAGATGATTCTGATTCATTATTATCAAATGTCTTTGGAATTGGTATGTGTGTCATTAAACCCTTTTTTGTTAAATTTTCCTTTTCCGATGACCTGACAGGTTTACGTTGGTCTACAACATAATATAATATTAAAGCTTAAATTTTTAAATAAATATTAATATTGTACATTTTAAAATGCATTTATATTATCAACGAAAAATTTTGTAAGCATATTATAAGTTCTTTATACTTATTATTCTGAATTAAAAAAAAAGAACTCATTATCAGATGGTTCTCACTATTATCAAATGTCTTTGCAGCTGGTACATGTGTCGCAAAACTCTTTTTTGTTAAATTTTCCTTCATATTATTGTGTTCAATTTTAAGGTTAAATAAATAATGATAATTTTTTATATGTAAAGAACATAATTATGCATATAATATATATATATATATATACAGGGTGATTCAGGAGGAAAGGTAAAGATTTTAGTGGGTGATAGTATAGGCAAATGCGAACAAAAAATGTCCTATTAACATGTGTCTTATTTTTATTTTTATTTTTATTTTTATTTTTATTACATAAAAGAACGTCAAGATGACCTCAGAAGAGCTACACGTAGTACAGTCAAAAGAATTAGAAAGTGTATTGAAGTCGGAGGTGGCATTTTTGAAAATCAACTTTGAACTTAGTCATTTGCGTCTACTTTTGTTTGTGCCTTTGACTTTTTTCTGCTGTGAGTGGTTTATTGTAACCAATAAAAATAAGACACATGTTAATAGGACATTTTTTGTTCGCATTTGCCTATACTATCACCCACTAAAATCTTTACCTTTCCTCCTAAATCACCCTGTATATATATATATATATATATATATATATATATATATTGTGTGTTGTGTGGGGGGGGGGGTGTAAATGCGTTAATTCATATAATTAATATAATACTTACCGTGCAATTTTACCCCGAATGAGCTGATGGTGCATGCAAAAAATCCAGGCAAAGGAAAGGATCCAAAAAACAAGAGATATATGTATGACAAAAGATATACATTAAATGTGAAAATCAATAAAAATCTCGACAGCATTTGACGTGGCGCAAATATGGGCCGCATTAGAAATCTGGTCAAATCCAGACTTGCGCCCGTTTAACTTTATAATGAATGCCACGCCATTTATATATCAGGCGCAAGGATGGCCCTGATATGTATCTTTCCAATTCTTTTAGATAAGGCTGTAGTGTGGCAAACTTGCATGGTGCTAACAAATGTCGTGGCACCGGCAAGGCAATTTCTACCAGGGATATTAAATAATAATTAACTACTTTATAGACTGTGCGGTAAAATAAAGTCATAAAGATGCTTTTCTCGCACTTGTGTGGTAAAGTAAGTCATACTGTACATTGAATCGTTGAGAAATAAGCTTCTTTCCGCACGCTAAATAGCAATCGAAAATTAAACTTTCATGACTAGCATTATGAAAAACAATTATTTGCATTGTCATAGTAAAAAATAAATAATAAATAAATGTGTTAATAATAATTAATAATTATAAATAAATAAGTAAATAATTGTTTTTGCATTTTTTTGCCATAACATTAAAACAATCGACTTTAGGGAATATGTGTATTAAGACTTTTTGACTTAGAATGATACGAAGAATATATAGTTTTACAATTAGTGTAGACATTACGTTGCGGGACACCCTGTATATATTTCTTGTATAATATATATATTCAAAGACTAATGCAATTATTTTAATGGAATATACAATTATTTTTTGTAGGTAACGGAGCAAGAATTAATAGAATTGGTATCGACTAACATGAAGGATCAATACAAGCTTCGTGCTGGAGTGATATTTCTGGATGCTCTCCCATATACAGGTTCAGTAAAAATTGCCAAGAATGAATTAAAAATAAGAGCTAAAAAATTAGCTATTGAATAAAATAAATATTTATATTTATATTTACATTAAAAACTTCATGTAATTTTACTTATGGAAATTACTTGTCCAAAATAAAAAAATTACTTAATTATCACTGTAATTTTTTTTCATATTTTTAAAAGTAAAAATACATATTAATGTAAAATATATGTAAAATATAGGTAAAATTACTATTTGTATATTTGTAGGACATATAATAAAAAAAGAAGAATATTTCATAAAGCGCCAGTAAATATAATCACAAGGATAAAAATCTTTGAAAAAACTTTTTAGACGACCAAACTGGGCAAAAACCCGTTATTACAGTGTTCATTTGATAAGGATCTAAACCAAAGGTCGAAACGTTATGAGGAAAATTTACTAAATTAACATGTTTTGCCCAGTTTGGTCGTCTAAAAAGTTTTTTTTAAAGATTTTTATCTTTGTAGGACATATTATGCAATTTAACAGTTTTTTTAACTAAAATTTTTCTAATTTTTTTGTTAAAATATTTCTAAAGACCAAATGTGATGAGCGATTATATGGTTGACAATAATATCAAATGAGACATATATATTTTTTATTTTATATTATACTCTTTAATCCAAATAAGATGTTATTGTCAATCATAAATCGCTCGTCACATTGGTATTTTTAAATAATTTGTTGCGTTACAATATATATAAGCCATATGTTTAATTAATTGTTATTTGTAAAATATTTCTACGAAAAAAATTATTTAATAAAATAATAATAATAAAAGATTTTATAGTATATAGGATTTTATTTGTTGCAATTTTTTGATATCATTATTTCTTTGAGAAATATTTCATCATTTTGTACAATAAAAATATATTGTATAAATTCAAAAAAATAGCAAAAATCTTTAAAAATTACAAATATTACAATTTTTTCCTGATTTTTCAAAATAAGTGCTTATTATAATTTTGTAAATATTAATTTTTTAAATCGAAATAGTGTGCAAACCAAAAAATGCGATTTTTGAAAAAAAAATTCGAAAAATGGATTAAAAAAATCGAAAATATTTGAATCACCTTTTTGCCAATATATTACAATAGCTCAAAAAATTTTTTTGAAGTCTAAAATGTTATAATTTTTATGAAAAAAATCGTAATGATCTCATTGAGAAAAAAAATAATTTCGGTTAAAATTGACTAAAACACCATTGAATTTTATATTTTTAATTATTTCAATACTTTGTTTAAAAAATACATTCAAAAACAAAAAAATGACCACCTTATTAATGACACTATATTTATTTTTCTTCAAGTTATAAATATTTGTAATTTTTTAATTAAAAAAAATCAATGTTTTAAAAATATTTAACTCTAAAAATAATAAAAATAAAAATCTAAAAAAATTCATGGAAGCTACTTTCAATAGATACAAATAGAAAAAAAAATGAAGCAAATAAAAAATGAGGGAGGATCCTGATAGCTTACAAATCAATTGCCAACAGCATCATTTGCCGACATTCCATTTGCCAACATCTCGTTTAACTACAAAAAGTATTGCCAACAGATCAATTGCCCATTCATACTATTGCACACAAATGAAAAATAAAGAGACGGACGTATGTTTGTACACATAACAGTTTTGCGCACAAACCGCATTGCACACATAATACTATTGCCAACAGATTGATTGCCTACAAGCACGATTGTGCACAAATAAAAAGTTAAGAAATGGATGTACGTTTCCACGCATAATATTATTGTCAACAGATCGATAGCCTACAGGCCCTATTGCGTACAAATTAAAAATGAAAAAACGAACGTACGTTTGCACACAATATTAATGCCTACAGATCGATTGTCTGCAAGCTTTGTTGCGCACAAATAAATAATTAAGCGGCAAAGAATAATTAAAAGACGTTTGCACACATGACAGTTTTGCGCATAAACCGCATTGTACACATAATGTTATTGCTTACAGATCGATTGCCTACAAGCCCTATTGCGCACAAATAAAAAATTAAAAAACAAATGTACAGTTGGACACATAATTTTATTGCCAACAGATTGATTGCCCACAAGCTCTATTGCGCACAAATAAATAATTAAGAGATAAAGAATAATTAAAAGACGTTTGCACTCATGACAGTTTTGCGCACAAATCGCATTGCACACATAATATTATAACTTACAGATCGTAAAGAGTCGTACGTACAGGTGATAAAGGAGTTCTTATTGAATATATATATAAAATATATCGATAATTTCCGAGTTAAAAGCGATTGACAAGAAAAAAGAATAGTTTATAAAGTAATTGTAAGCTTTAAGGAAAAATCAAATAGATTTATCAACACTTTTACTGATAATGAAAAAAAATTAAAGCGATGAACAGTGTACAAGCCAGTTCGCAAAAAACATTTTTTTTCTTAACTATAAAGTACATACCTTCTGCGATATTAGTGGCAAAATCGTCGGTTACAGCTTGAGTCACGGAGGATGTAATTGTTCCAGCAATCAGAATACAAAAATTATTTAAAAACATTTATCCCTTATCTATAAGGTGCAAATTATTCGAAATTTTGAAAGTAAACGCGAATTTGTAAAGCAAATCGTCTTTGCGTATAAATGTTTTTATTTTTTACAACAAAATAGCGAAGAAATTTGATTTTTAGTCAATAAATCTAAGCATAAACCGCAAAACTATGTTTTTGTATTGTTGTTATAAAGAATTAAAGTATTTATACAAAAACAGTTGCGTCATTAAATAATGCAAAATAAGAATAACTGATATACGTATTGTAAACACTATTTTGAAGTGAATGCTAGAAAGAAAAAATCATCTCTTTACTTTTCTCTGTAAATTGCGACCGCGTCTACGCGGTCTTTCACGACCACGTGGAGGTATTCTATTTGTCCTTCCAATATTGTCAGCAAGTGACATTGAATCGATAATAACCGTGATTTCTGATGCTATCAATTGAATTTTAAAGATTAATTAAAAATACAAACAATATATATATATATTTAATAAAGATTAAAATTAGATATTTAAAGACAAGGCTCGTGTAATATTATAAAAATAAGATTTAGAAAGACAGGGCCAATCATAACGAGCATATTAAATTAGTTAGAGATGTAATGTCAACACATAATTACTTTATTTGTTAGTATATACAATGATATTAATAAAAAATAAACGTTTCGGCTGTTACCTCAGCCTTCTTCAGTAAATATATAAAAAATAAAATTAAGAAATATTACGCATTAGAGTCTATTTTGTAATGAACCTTTGGTTTGATGAGTCATTAAATTTATATTGGGTGACGCTTATATCATTTATTAAAAATAGATATTGTTTTTGATCGGCTAACCATTTTTTAACTGAGATGGTAACTTTTAAATATGTCAAAAAACATGCAACGAGCTCACTGTTGTTATTAGATCAAGTTGACAGTCCATTCCACGTCATCAATCCTTTTGCACATTATTAGTTGAGAATATCATCAGAACTGCTTAATATGAGAATTGAAACAATTAGATGTTATCCAGCATCAAAAAGTTAGTCCCCATCATCAAGCATATTTCCGAATAGGTTCATCATTGTAGTGTATTTCACCGTGTTTGTCTAAGTATATTTTTTTTTTTTTGGTATATTAATTTATATTAATTAGTTATTTTTCATATGAAAGATCTTGATTATGATTAAAAGTGCTTACTTAAATTGATGAGTAGTCAAGATTCCGCCAAGTCAATGTGTTCATTATACAGTGTCACAATATGATATGTCGAATTCAAACCGTAACTCCTATTATTATTATTATTTATTTATACGACAATTCTTCTAGAATGTCAAAATATGACTCGTCAAGCATATCGGTATCTTTTTTTAAGTTTAGACCGTTTTTTGTTCTTTTATATGAATCATTTCAGAAACATTTCTCTTCTGAAAATTAGATTCGGAATCTAAAATTTTTATGTCTTCCCAATTAAATGAGTGTTGGTAATTAAGAATATGTTCCGAGATGACCGAGTGTCTTGACGAATCTAACTTTATATTATTTACATGTTCTTTAACTCTCGTTTTAAGATATTCTCAACTAATAATGTGCAAAAAGATTGATGACGTGGAATAGACTGTCAACTTGATCTAATAACAACAGTGAGCTCGTTGCATGTTTTTTGACATATTTAAAAGTTACCATCTCAGTTAAAAAATGGTTAGCCGATCAAAAACAATATCTATTTGTAATAAATGATATAAGCGTCACCCAATATAAATTTAATGACTCATCAAACCAAAGGTTCATTACAAAATAGACTCTAATGCGTAATATTTCTTAATTTTATTTTTATATATAATATTTACTGAAGAAGGCTGAGGTAACAGCCGAAACGTTTATTTTTATTATTATCATTGTATTTACTAACAAATAAAGTAATTATGTGTTGACATTACATCTCTCACAAATTTAATATGCTCGTTATAGTTGGCCCTGTCTTTCTAAATCTTATTTTTATAATATTACACGAGCCTTGTCTTTAAATATCTAATTGTATTCTTTATTAAATTTAAAACCAAAAGAATTAGGTAGTTCGTCAATTGAGAGTTAAATTTTTGTGTCGAAGAAGGTTCTTTTGTTCGTAAAGAGGATTTTGTCAAGGGCTTGTCGCCGGAGCCAACGTAAAGTAGATGTGGCGCGGTTAGCACGAGCTTTCTTACTTGCTCTATAATTACGTTTCTTTCGACGTGCGATCTTCTGTTTCCGCGTCTTCATGAGGCATAGAATGGTAGTGAAGTATCTAATTTAATAAGGGGATATTGTCAGGGAGATATTAATAAGGGAAATGTACTAATGGAGATTACATCAATGTTGCATTAATATCTTTGTTGATTTACCGCTGGATTCCGTCAATTGTATTTAGGTAGACATTAGGAGAATAGTTAAATATCTAGATAATTAGCATATTGATCGATTTCAAGTAAATTGTCTGGACACTGATCTTTTAATGATTGTATCAAGTCTTTACGATGAATTTGTTCCTGAGAAGTATCCTCTTCTATTTGTGATACTAAATCACACAATTCTGCAATTAGTAACTGTTCTGAGAATTGATCTTTTATCGTTTGTACTTCATCTGTAGGATAAAATTCCGGGAAAGTATTTCTTTCTACTTGCGATACTAATTCGTGTAAATCCGTGATTAGTAACTGCTCTGAAGAATCGGATTCTGAACTAAATATATTAGATGGTTCATCTAGCAAGGATTCTATTCCAAAGTCAGGGGGAATTCCTTTGTCTGAGATTGGTGATAACTCTGGAAAGTTAGTTCTGAGATCAAAATAATTAAGTGCTTCTTCTATTAAGGAATCAATTGAACTTGGTAATTCAGGAGTTGAGAATTCAAAGGAAATAAGAGATTGGTTGATTGAGGGTTCAATCTCAGTATGAGGGGGAGTTCCTTGTTCGCTACGAGTTTATTGTCAAGATTTAGTTAAATAGGTAAAGTCTTTAATCTTTTTATAGTCTCCGGGGAAATGGCAACTATTTCACACGATTTGATGCAAGGTTTATTGTCTGGTGACCGTAGCCTGAGCCAACGTAGAGTAGATGCGGCGCGGTTAGCACAAGCTTTTTTCCCAGCTCTGTGATTACGTTTATTCCGACGTGCGATCTTCTGTTTTAATGTTTTCATTTATAATACGTTAT